GGTTTCTGACTAACCGCTTGACCTTAGTTTAAGTTGTACTCAGTTACGGTAACCATGTATATAATTTCAGAATTAATAAGAACCGCTGATTAATGTCGGAATATTACATGGGTAGCTGTAGGGGGCTAAACAGATTAGCCACAAACCTCTGAATAAGGATTAGAATGGCGAGTTTGTGATCGTGGAGCCCACGCATAGCGGCCGGCGTGAGGCATCCTAAAACGACATAGATTCCTAGTGAACGAGAAAAAATACAAAGTAAAGAGTTAATTAGAATAATCGAATGTAAGAATAATCAGAGACCGACAAACAACCAATGTGCCTTTCAACCTAAATTAGAATTCAGATACTAAAATGGAGTCAGATTGAGTTAAACCTAAATTGAATAACTCTGCGCGCTGAAAAGACCGAACACGCAAGAGACCTTCATCCGCCACTGGATACCTTCCTTGGGCCAGGTGCGCGGACCTTACATCTGACACTGACTGATGAGATCTTGTGCTGCTTTCTGATTATTTGTTTAAATCAGTCTCTTTCTTGTCAGTGTGAATTATTAAGAAACATTCTTGTATATATCATGTCATTTTGCATAACAAGCATATGAATGGTCTGGTTGTCTGTGTGTGCAATAATTCATATAGCAGTAAAACAGCTGAGCGTCTTTGACAGAGAGAATACTTTCAGAGCATGAGCCTCCGTCTCAAATTACGTTTACTCAAATTAAGCTTTACGTAAACGTAAACACACAGCAGTGTTCATTTGTGCATCGAAACATAAAGTGTTGGACTCACGCAGACGGCAGAGAAACATCCGTCGTGAGTTTCACCGACAGCAGCACAAGCGCTTTATATAAACCCATCAGCAGAGGTCAGCTCCTCTCGCACACCAACACAGTGCACTTGTGTCAATTCACCCTCCCTCACTAGTGTGCTACTGCTCAATTTCCTAATAATATTTCACAATATTACTACAATATTACATCCACTGTGTGCATTAAAATCTTATAATCCTTGTTATACATGTTGTGTGTGTTTTATTATTTGTTGTGTTATTATGTTAGTATCATTGAGATGCTATTAGAGTTTTTATTAACATTTTGAGTTAGTTTTTACATTTTCTGTTTTTATTTTAATGTTAAAGTTTTAGTAAATTTATTGTGTTGTTGTCATTTTTTATATTATTATTTAAGTGTGTGTGTGTGTGTGTGTGTGTGTGTGTGTGTGTGTGTGTGTGTGTGTGAGTGAGTGAGTGAGTGAGTGAGTGAGTGAGTGTGAGTGAGTGAGTGAGTGAGTGAGTGAGTGAGTGAGTGTATAATTACCTAATGTGTTTTAAACATGTATAAGCATGTTTAAAACACGCTTATACATGTATAATGACATGTATAATTACCTAATATGTTTTAAATATAAATTATACTCAAAATTTGTTAAATTGTATCAAAGTACAACAATTAAAGTAAAATAAAAAAACGCAAAAAGGGTAACTATATACATCCAGGGTTATAAAATGTGTCCTAATTCAGTTCCATCCAGACTCAAATGACTTTCAGTATATATGTAGACACTAAACAGAGTATGTATATGTACACACACATAAGCATAAATTATATACGTATATCCATACATTAATCATCTTCTACTTATTTATAGCAGCAAAATCAGACCTTCTTTCTGATACATAGAAATTCTTTCTGTCTCTCTTGTTTTAACCATTTACGTGTGATTGCTTTCTTACTGGCTGCCAAAAGCACAGCCATCAGGTATTTATTATCTGCTGTTTCTATATCTGTTTCTATATTTTTCCAACAATATTCCTTCAAATTTAATGAGCTAGTTCATTTCCATATAGATGACCACTCTTCATCAGTAAAGATCGTTTCACTCTCTGTCATCCATTTCTCTTTGATAGAGTTGTGGAGTGTATACACTTGTATATCTGAGACTTAACTATCTTATATCTAATACCTGATGCATGTGCCTTCTCAAGTAAGTCTATCAATGGGTTCAGATAATCTTCTAGTTTTCCTTTTGATTTTTGATCATAATAATGTGGAACTTGAAGGTGTCTGTAAAAATCTTTATTTTCTAGAAAAAAAAATGTCTTTAATAACTGAAAGCTTAAAATGTCACCTTTCTCAATGATGCTGCAAAAATAAGTCATTCCTTTATTTGACCACAATTTAAATCTGTTATCAAACTTGTTTGGAGTGAAATCTGAATCATAAGAAAACCATTTCAAGACTGTACTGTATTCCAACAATTGATTACATTAATTTCTATATGAAAATAAGAAATGTTTCCTTGGCAGCTAGCTGAAATAATATATATAACAAAGAGTGAAAAATTTAAGGGGGTCTGAATACTTTCCGTACCCACTGTATATATATATATATATATATATATATATATATAATATTAGAATTTTGTTATTTTATGTAATGCCATTTTTTGTAATTTTTAATGATTATTTGTATATTTATTTGTATAATATGTTGAATATATTATTGCACATTTATTTATGTGGCCAGAATCAGCCAAAAACCTTTTAGTTCCTCATTGTGTTTTGATTATTTTTTTTTTCCCCACAATAATTTGTTGTGTTTTCATTCATTTTTAGATGATGAGAAAATGCTGACTATGCCAAAGCAATATCAAATGCTAGTGGCTTGTGGAAAGAAAAAAGAAAACACATTTATTGCATATATTTCTTCCTGAATTTCTTCACTGTCGTCGACATTCTTCTGCCTGCCGATGCCGATCCAGTGAACGGTTTTCAAACACGAGCGGCTTGGAAATGCTTTCCTGGGGAAGTCGTGGCCTAATGGTTAGAGAGTCGGACTCGCAACCCAAAGGTTGCGGGTTCGAGTCTTGTACCGGCAGGGACTGTAGGTGGGGGGAGTGAATGTACAGCGGTCTCTCACACCTTCAATACCACGACTGAGGTGCCCTTGAGCAACTGCTCCCCGGGCGCTGCAGCATAAATGTCTGCCCACTGCTCCGGGTGTGTGTTCACTGCTGTGTGTGTGCACTTTTGGATGGGTTAAATGCAGAGCACTAATTCCTAGTATGGCCACATGTCACGTCACTTTTTTGTCACGTCACTTTCTGTTTAAGCAGCCGCTCTGGTCTCTGTCTTCCCTGCAGGTGCTGTCGCTGGGCGCTGACGTTCTGCCGGAGTACAAGCTCCAGACGCCGCGCATCCACAGGTGGACAGTGCTGCACTACAGCCCGTTCAAGGCGGTGTGGGACTGGCTGATCCTGCTGCTGGTGATCTACACGGCCATCCTCACGCCGTACTCCGCCGCCTTCCTGCTCGACGGAGACGAGGACAGCTCCGGGCAGAACTGCAGCTACTCCTGCAGCCCGCTCAACGTGGTGGACCTCATGGTGGACATCATGTTCATCATCGACATCATCATCAACTTCCGCACCACCTACGTCAACGCCAACGACGAGGTGGTCAGCCACCCGCTGCGCATCGCCGTGCATTACTTCAAAGGCTGGTTCCTCATCGACATGGTGGCCGCCATTCCCTTCGACCTGCTCATAGACCGCACCGGGGAGGAGATGAGTACAGAGGTGAATCTGTGCTCCAGCTCTTGTGTACTCATTTATCTTTTACACTTGCCATTTTCTACTGCATGTGCTGTCAGGTCTTATGATAAATTGCTTGCCTCGCACCTCTTTTATATCCTCATTTCACACTTAGAATAAAAGTGTCTGCTAAACGAATAAATGTAATGTACAGTATGTTTTCTGCAGGTCTTCAAAAGTTTTAATTCATGTTTCCACAAATTAAGGCCTTAAATCAGAGCAGAAAGTTTTTAATTCATGAAGTCATGACATTACATTTTGCAAATGAATACTTAGATTTTTGTTGTTTTCCAATGCAAATATCGAAACATCCTTAAATCAGGATACATTTACTTGAGATTCATCAGTTATTTATTAAACAAGAGTTATCTTATCATTTTTATTCTCAAGTAAATGCATCTGGTTTTAAACATCTTTAGACATTTTCACTGGAGAACAAGACAAAAATACAAAGGAAGATCATCACTTGTTTGTAGAGGGATCAGAAGCTACAGTAGAAGTTATTTAAGTCTTTTAAGTTATTTATTTATTTAGTTCAAATGAATTCAAAAGTCATGAAGATCTGTTGGAAGTTGTATTGTCAAACACTGAAGAGATTCAGAGAACATTCAGAGGCCATATGGACATGAAGTCGTGGCATTAAATGTTGCATACATTGCTAAAAATGAATATTTTCCCTTTTTTCTTGATTTAACATCCTTAAATGCATTTACTTGAGATGCACAATGAACATATGAAGTCTTGTTTTCTGAGAAACAGAACAGAATTAAATAAGTTTATGCTTAAAACAAGAACAAACATCTGTCGGTGGAGAATAAAAATTGATTTCCCTTTGAATTAAATTACCTCATTGGCAGATATTTGTTCTTTTTTAGTCATAACTCACTTCATTTTGATAAATTAAAATTTAAATAGACTTATATAATTTTGCTTCTTAAGTTAAATGTATCTTGATTTAAGAATCTTTAGACATTTGCACTGGGAAAACAAGACGAGACATTATTTTTTTGCACTGTAATCATAAAAATGCTGAGTTGCTTCAACCCAACTTTGGGTCAAATATAGACTAACCCAGCTGTTGGGTTACATTTTTAAATTACATTTTTAACCCAAAAGTTGGGTTAGTCCATATTTGACCCAAAGTTGGGTTGAAACAACAGCATTTTTTAGAGTATAAGGTGCAGTAAAAGTTATTTCCATATTCAAGTGGTTGTGAACAGAGATATTCAAGCACTAAGCTAAAAGTAAAATGAATTAAAAAGTAAAGGAGATCGGTTGGAAGTTGTATTGTCAAACGTCAAAGTGTTGCTAATGCAAGACATTATTGTGTTTCTTAAAGGGACAGTTCACCCAAAAATGAAAATCCTGTCATTTAATTCGCAAGTTGTTCCAAACCTGTATGAGTTTCTTTCTTCTGTTGAACAAAAAAGAAGATATTTTGAAGAAAGTTGGTAACCAAACAGTTGACAGTAGCCATTGACTTCAATAGTATGGAAAAAGATTCATGACAGCATTTTCTTTTTTGGGTGAACTGTCCCTTTAAAATGATATTACTTGGTATCAGAAACCTGCATAAATCCCGTTATAAATCTGTTATTTTTTTTCTTTATTTTATTTTATTTTAGCCAACTCAACAGACCACCCTCATCGGCCTGCTCAAGACGGCGCGTCTTTTACGTCTCGTCCGCGTGGCGCGTAAACTGGACCGTTACTCTGAGTACGGCGCGGCCGTCCTCTTTCTGCTGATGTGCACGTTCGCTCTGATCGCTCATTGGCTGGCCTGTATCTGGTTCGCCATCGGGAACGTGGAGCAGAACCGCTCCATCGGCTGGCTGCATGCGCTCGGCGTGGATCTGGGCAAACCACACAACAGCAGCATCAGGGGATCGGGACCCAGCATCAAGGACAAATACGTGACCGCTTTATACTTCACCTTCAGCAGCCTGACCAGCGTGGGCTTCGGGAACGTGTCGCCCAACACCAACTCCGAGAAGATCTTCTCCATCTGTGTCATGCTGATTGGATGTGAGTATGTTTCGCTGCTTAAGAGTCAGCCGTAAGTTTAGAGGTCCAAGACGATGGTAGAGTTTTTAAAAATCCAGTTTAAAAATTTGTAGAAATATAATATTTGTATTAATGTTTGTTTCTAATGACTTGGCTAAGATTTTGTATAACATATTTGAATTTTGTTTGTTATCATTCCAATATATATATAGTGAAAGTTTATGTTAAACTACATTATAAAAATGTTTTATATAAATATTTGAATAGTGACGTATTTAACTTATTTTTTAAAGAATTTTAAACAAAATTACTTCCTTCTTGTTTGGTTTATATATATACAGTATATGTGTGTGTGTGTGTGTTATTACAAAACTAATTCCTTTAAATAATAATAATATAATAAATAATCAAATAAATGTTAATTATTAACTGAAATAAATATTTTATTTCAAATATTTAATTTTCAGGCAACATTTCTCATTTTCAATTAGTTTAAATTAATGTAATAAAATACTAAAAACCAAAACAGAAATATACTTAATAACATACACATATTAAAAAAAAAAAATAATAATATTAATAATATAAAAATGACAAAAACTTTAAAATCGAAACTATAATACTAAAATAATAATATAATAAATGAGCCTTTTTTCTCTCTGTTATGATCTGATGACAATGAACTTTGTTCTAGACATTGAAAACATTCATCATAAAAGAGATGTACGGACGTCATTGTGTGTATAAATTGCATTTTGTGTATTTTTAATTAACTAAATAGATCCAGAGAATACAAAGTAAGCATAACTGGCCCCTTAAAGCTCGTCTGAGTGTTGATCTTCATCCTGAATGTCTTGTAGTTCAGATGAAATCTTCATTTGAGATGCATGTGTTTGTTCTCTAAAGAGATTTTTTTATTGTGCACTTTATGATCAACATGCTGATGAAACATCCTCCCTTTTTAATTTTTGCTGAACAAATCATCCTGATAGCTCATTTTTGTAGGTCCTGATCGCAGCAATTAATGATGAATTGGCACGTTAATATCACTGCCGCACATATATTAGACCTCAATAACCATGAAGTAATTTCCATTTTTATGGCCGGTAGAAGCATTTATCATCGGCGCATGTACGGACGTCATTGTGTGTATAAATTGCATTTTGTGTATTTTTAATTAAGTAAATAGATCCAGAGAATACAAAGTAAGCATAACTGGCCCCTTAAAGCTCGTCTGAGTGTTGATCTTCATCCTGAATGTCTTGTAGTTCAGATGAAATCTTCATTTGAGATGCATGTGTTTGTTCTCTAAAGAGATTTTTTTATTGTGCACTTTATGATCAACATGCTGATGAAACATCCTCCCTTTTTAATTTTTGTTGAACAAATCATCCTGATAGCTCATTTTTGTAGGTCCTGATCGCAGCAATGAATGATGAATTGGCACTTGAATAATATCACTGCCGCACATATATTAGACCTCAATAACCATGAAGTAATTTCCATTTTTATGGCCGGTAGAAGCATTTATCATCGGCGCTGCAGAATTACATTTCGGAAGAGGGCGAAAGGAGAAAATCAACACGACTTCTTCAATCTGATACAAGATTGTTCATTACATTCAACAGCTGAAGTCAGCAGACTGTAGAGATCAAACGCTCAATATTCAACATTTAACAGCTGAAGGACTGCAAAAAGCCTCATTTGCTCAATCGTATTTCTTTTGTGTTTTACTGCATATAATAGCTTTATTTCATTCGTGAGTGTGAAAAAATCAGGCCCAGGTGATATTTTAGTTTCTTTTCTTGTAAAACATACTTCAATATTTATTTTTTTGCAACAGAAAGTTCTAGTAAATTTCTAAATTAATTACAAAGAAACAGCAAGTAAGAAATGTTCAAGTACTTAAATACTATTTTCTTGTAAAACATACTCCAATAATCTTTATATTGACAACTTGGAAAACTAATTTTTACATTGTAGGTCTAAGCTCATTTTTTGTATGCTGTGAGATGTTTATAACCGCACAGAAAAGTGCTTGTTAACAGCATAATAGTCTTGTCCGCCAGCGAGGAAACAGGCGCTGATCTAAGCCGATGTCACACAGTAAAGTGTGAAGCATGTACCTGTATAGTGCTTCATCAGGATGCTATTTTTAACCTTGCCCTTCCTGTTCCTGTTCAGCGCTCATGTACGCCAGTATCTTCGGGAACGTGTCAGCCATCATCCAGCGGCTGTACTCCGGAACGGCTCGTTATCACACTCAGATGCTGCGGGTGAGAGAGTTCATCCGCTTCCATCAGATTCCCAACCCGCTGCGCCAGAGACTGGAGGAATATTTCCAGCACGCCTGGTCCTACACCAACGGCATCGACATGAACGCCGTGAGTCCACCTGCTGCCTTACATCAACCAAAAATGGAAATTTTTGCTGGAAATGTGCTCACCCTCAGGCTATCCCAGATGTAGATGAGTTTGTTTCTTCATCAGATTTGGAGAAATGTAGCATTGCATCAGTGTCTCACTGCAAGTGAATGGGTGCCGTCAGAATGAGAGTCCAAACAGCTGATAAAAACATCACAATAATCCACAAGTAATCCACAGCACAGGACTGGAGTGGTGTAGATTACTTGTGGATTATTGTGATGTTTTTATCTGCTGTTTGGACTCTCATTCTGACGGCACCCATTCACTTGCAGTGAGACACTGATGCAATGCTACATTTCTACAAACCTGATGAAGAAACAAACTCATCCTAATCTTTGATGGCCTGAGAGTGAGCACATTTCCAGCACATTTTCACGTTTGGGTGAACTATTCTTTTAACGCTAACAAACTCACATGCATCACCTTTAAAGTGATCTGTGAGCTGGATTACATGTGTGTATTATAAATAATGAGTTCATTTAGCAACTGTCCTCACCAGCACATCCTCTACTATTACCAGCCCCAAATGCAGAGTTTAATGAGATAACGCATTGAAGTAAAGAAAACAAATGAGCGTCCACCTCCAGCCGTCAGCTCCTCTCATTAAGGAGCAGTGGAGCGTTCTGATTGGACAGTCAGAGCCGTTATGATTGCTGTGCTGCTGAGTGAAATGAATTTTTCGAAAAATTCTTTACTGAACCACTCAGCTCTGAAATGAATCACTACATTAAAATGTTGATTTAAAGACAACAAAGTACTACAAAAAAGTAAGATTTTGTGTCCTTCATTTGTTTTATGAGACTGCAGATCCCATGAGGCTACGCAAATGGCATAAATGCTGTTCTTTTGAACTTTCTAATCATCAAAGTATCCTGAAAAATAAAATATATATCGGTTTCCAGCACGTTTCCCAGAGTGTCTGCAGGCCGATATCTGTCTGCATCTGAACCGGACTCTCCTGCAGAACTGTAAAGCGTTCAAGGGCTCTAGTAAAGGGTGTCTGCGAGCGCTGGCCATGAAGTTCAAGACCACACACGCCCCGCCGGGAGACACGCTGGTGCACGCCGGAGACGTCCTGACCGCGATCTACTTCATCTCCCGCGGCTCCATCGAGATCTTACGTGGAGATGTAGTGGTGGCCATCTTAGGTAGGTGTGACTTATTTCAGTGATGGTGACGTTTTGTAAAATCCAAGATCTTTTATACTACATACAACACTTATTTTTAAGGATCTAGGATCAGTTTTCCAGGATGCACCCCATTTAAGTCATTCAAGCTGTATTTCCGGTTTGAATGCAGCAAAGTTTACTGTAAGGTCAGTTTGACCGATTCTGTGTTTATCCTTTAGTGCCACCTACAGGAAGTCTTCTGTAAAATTGTGTAACTCTGAACGCACACGCTTCAAAGAATAATTCAACCAAAAATCATTTACTCACCCTCATGACTTTCCTGCATGACTGCATTTCTTCTGTGGAAAACAAAAGCAGATGTTTAGCAGAACATCGCTGCTGTTCTTTGAAAGCATCCAATGAATACATTTACATTTATTCATGTAGCAGATGCTTATATCCAACGTGACTTACAGTTGGGGAATACATCAAGCGATTCATCTTAAGAGGCAAACAGACACTGGAAGTGCTCGTCATACCAAGTTCAAGCATTGTTCAAATAAGTACAAGCTAGACAGAGAAAGATGAAAGTCAGTGACTGTCTAGTGTCTAGTGACTGTCAAACTCCAAAACGGATACAAAATAAATAAATTGTTCATATCACTCATATACCACAGTCCAAGTCTTGTGCAGTCATACCAAAATATTTTTATTATTTATTTTAAGTATTGATTTAGTGTATAGTATTTATTGTATTTTAGTTTTTTCCCCCGTCCTATAGGCATCATTAAAAAGATCATAATATAAATAAATACATGTTTAAAAATGTTTAAAAAAAATTGAGGGGGTAATGATAAAAAATATATATATATATATATAATTAAATATGAATAATTTAATGCATAAAAGTAAAGCATTAAAATGCACAAGCATGCGTAAGTAAAATTGCAGGTACACTGTTCTCCTGTCCTGTATATATCATAAAAATAGTTTAGAAATAAATAAATCACAGCTGAATCAATCAGTTAATCTAATTAATAAAAACAGACAAAAGGGAGGTATATATATATAATGCCTAAAAGCGAAGTATTAAAATGTATAAACATTGATAAATAAAACTGTAGGTGCATTAAGGACAAACTAAACTCTGAGCAGCATGTTGTCTAGTAAAATATTATGGGATTTAAAAGGGTTAATCAGCCAGATCGAGTTGCAGAGTGTTTACATTTGCTAGAAAGGCTTCCAGCTACAAATAGAACTTATAAAAAATAAGATAATAAATGTGTGCATCTCTGCTAGTCTGATTGTTTATGGATGTGTCTGACAGTGATATTATGTGCATCCTAGGGAAGAATGATATATTCGGTGAGCCCATCAACCTGTACGCACGGCCCGGGAAATCTAACGCAGACGTGAGGGCGCTGACGTACTGCGACCTGCACAAGATCCACAGAGACGACGTGCTGGAGGTGCTGGACATGTACCCGGAGTTCACCGACCACTTCTGGAGCAACCTGGAGATCACCTTCAACCTCAGAGACGTGAGTCACGCTCACTGTACAAATCTTCCAGTAAGTGGAGCAGAAACACAGAGTTCATGGAGGTGTTCCCTTTCAGACGAACATGATTCCCGGATCCCCCAGCAGCGAGGATTCAGACTGCGCCGGCTTCAACAAACTGCGGAGGAGAAAGCTTTCATTCCGACGACGGACAGAAAAAGGTTTTCCTGATAATTCATGTAGTCGCCGTCATTGAACATTCAGAAACACACTATTTACGGATGATATATGCAGACATTGGAGCTGTTTTGCATGTGCCCCTGATGAATATCCATCCCATGTTTGTTTCTCCAGACGATGCAGATGCTGGAGAGATCAAGAAGAATCAGAAGCCCATCCGGAGAGGCAGAAAGCAAGCAGCCAGTAACCAGAACGAGCTCAAACCGGGGTGGGAGGAGCCTCGGAATTCTATCTCCTCCCACTCCAGTGGTGATGAGGGGGAGGAGCCTGTGCACACATGCCCCACCCCTCTCACCACGCTCATGGATGTGACTGAAGGAGAGGGCGATCCCAAAATAGGAAACACATGCAACGCCCTATCAGGTGACAGAACGACAACATTAAACTCATATATATATATATATGTATTATATAATATAAAAAGGACAAATAATTGAATTAATAATATTATAAATATTCAGAATTTAAATTCTGTATAAAATATATAAAAAATACAATACAAACAATATATAATAAATATAAATACAATATATAACAACCATGATAGTTTTAATGTTACAATATGAAAATAAAACTGTTAACATTATAATATTAAAATATTAGGATTTTTATTTACATTTGATAAAAAACACAGGCATTATATAAAAGATCTGAGCCTTTTTTTTTTTTTTGGATGTGATCACCAAATATTTAACAATTATCAAATGAAAAAATTAATTATGGTACTATTATGAATTAATATTAATATTATTTAAACCGTAGTATTTGGAAAGATAAATGCTATAAATCATGCTGTATGTGGTAGTAATGTGCGTCTTTCTGTCTCAGGTGCATTCTCAGGTGTGTCTAATATCTTCAGTTTTTGGGGTGACAGTCGGGGGAGGCAGTATCAGGAGGTGCCCCGCTGCAATCTCCCGTCGCCCTCGCCGTATCCCAGCATGCCCCTGCGCAGCATCAGCCGCCTGCAGCGCAGCCAGATGGAGAGCAGACTGGAGCTGCTGCAGAAACAGCTCAACAGGTCTCAGAGCCCACTGCAGTCAGACCACCTGTGTACACTAAACAGCTGTCCGAATGAACCGACTCACTAAACCAGATTCAGATACACTTTGAATGGAGTTGCATTAACAGCCCGACAGCGCCTCCTATTATTATTGAAATGAATTGCATTGCAGATCTAACAGTGCACTTCACTGTGTGTGTGTTTGTGTTTGTGTTTGTGTTTGTGTGTGTGTGTGTGTGTATATATATATATATATATATATATATATATATAATATTTTTTTGCATTTTTATCATATATATAATTTTTATACCAGTGTGTGTGCAGTATATATATATTCTTTGATTTTATTGTATCTTTGTTTTTGCTGAGCAAATAATAGTAGCTACTGTAGTTTCTGGTGCTAATGTATTAAAACTGCTCTAATAAGTGCAAACAGTGTGACAGCGGCAGGACCTCTGCTCTGTTTTCTTCTCCAGTCCTGCGAGTTTCTCAGCAGCTCCACGGAGCTCCATCCTGCGGTCAGCGTGGCTCCTCGACCCGGATTCTCCAGCCTCGGGGCCCGACTGGAGCTTGTGCCCGACCCCGACATCCACCGGCGCTTCTCCCTGCAGGAGCCGCACACGTCACTGAGCTCACAGACGCCACAGAAACACAGCTCAGACCCCGGGAGCTAGAGAGACCACCGCCAGACCAGAGGAGATCAAAGCGGACTGACCAGCCCTCTCCGGCTTCTGGTTCTGCACTGCGGAGGGTTCAGAGATTCACTGGAGGCGGTTTAACTCTGTTGTCGTCCAATATTGGATATCCAGAAACAAATAATGATGATTATTACTGATTTTTTAAGTAGCCTTTGTCTTGCACTGAATTTTCCAGACTCTCTCGATCTTTATCTTCATGTCTGCCGCGCTTCCAAAACTGACTGAACTCGTTAGTGTTAGCTGGCCTAACAGAAGAAAATCATTATAATAATAATAACCTGTGTGTGGATGAAGAAGGCGGAGCCTCAGGCCCCGCCCAAGCACACTTGATTGGCTGGATGGGGTGATTGGCAGGTGTTTAAAGCTGTGCCGTTACTGATGAAGCATATCATGTGTTCTGACACTGGACGAACAATATGCAACGAGTCGAACGCGTGTCACGTCCCACTTGGCTTCGGTTCCTTTGTTTTCCAGCTTTTTGTTTTTTATAGTTAGAAAAACATTAGCTTTAGCAATACCGAATCCTTTAAACCACAAACGAAACCAAATATTGAAGATTGGGTTGGACCAAATGTTTTTCCTTGGTTTTTCCTCATCGTCTGCGGTGTTTACGGCCTGCAGTCACAGTCACATGGTTATTCATTATTATTTGGTACATTTCTGAGCTCTTGACAATGAATTGTAGACATTTTAGTTTTCCATTGACGTGTGGACCAATGAAAAAAGAAACTTCATATAAGCTCTTAAGCATGCGATAATAAACACCTTTAATATTTTAAATCAGACTTTAACCTCATTATATTTAAATGACTATAATATTTAATATAAGCGTTCTTGAGGAAGGAAGGCATATTAGCATGAGAACGTGTTGTGCATCAGCATCCGTACGTGAATCATGGCCACGATTGTATCGTTCTGCCTCTAGGCTTGAATTTAGAGGTTTTTAATTGTGATTTATGTTTTGTTGATACCAAATATTATATCTATTTTGAATTAAACTGGTAAACTGAACGCAAGGAAGGTGGATTTCACCGCGTGTCGATGTGAAAGCACTGTTCAACACTACTGCATTAAATAACGATCGTCACGTTTACTTTCATGAGTGCAGGAGTTTGCACATGTTTGTCTAGTTCATATTTGTTATGCATTTTAATATTATTATTATTAGTGTCTCCATGAATTCGGTGTATAGGAGTCTTTTCACCATCATATTCGGGTGAATCTCACATTAACACATACAGGTCAAATTTTATTAACAAAATCTATTTTTAGGATTTTTATACTTATTATTATTCTCAATGATGATTCTCTTTAGATTGTAATTCATTATTCATTATTATGATTTTTTTTAAACCATCAAAAATTAAAGCCAACAAATACTGCTTTAATGTATAAAAATGTGGAAAGTATATTTAATTCGTTTTGAAACTCAGTAAAAAAAAATTGAGAGAATTTGTCACACAAAAAAACTATCATATTTTTTTTTTGAATCCCACAATTTAAAAAAAAATAAATAAATAAAAAATATATATATACATAATTATTTATGAGCTCTTGAACTTGAAAATGAATTGGTTTTGGTTTTCCATTGACGTGTGCACCAATGAAAAAAATCAACTTTATATACGCTCTTAAGCATGCGATAATAAACACTTTTAATATTTAGCCATTTATTTTATATCAGACTTACCATTATTATATTTAAATGACTATAATATTTAATATAAGCGTTCTTGAGGAAGGAAGGCATATTAGCATGAGAACGTGTTGTGCATCAGCATCCGTACGTGAATCATGGCCACGATTGTATCGTTCTGCCTCTAGGCTTGAATTTAGAGGTTTTTAATTGTGATTTATGTTTTGTTGATACCAAATATTATATCTATTTTGAATTAAACTGGTAAACTGAACGCAAGGAAGGTGGATTTCACCGCGTGTCGATGTGAAAGCACTGTTCAACACTACTGCATTAAATAACAATCGTCACGTTTACTTTCATGAGTGCAGGAGTTTGCACATGTTTGTCTAGTTCATATTTGTTATGCATTTTAATATTATTATTATTAGTGTCTCCATGAATTCGGTGTATAGGAGTCTTTTCACCATCATATTCGGGTGAATCTCACATTAACACATACAGGTCAAATTTTATTAACAAAATCTATTTTTAGGATTTTTATACTTATTATTATTCTCAATGATGATTCTCTTTAGATTGTAATTCATTATTCATTATTATGATTTTTTTTAAACCATCAAAAATTAAAGCCAACAAATACTGCTTTAATGTATAAAAATGTGGATATGTATATTTAATTAGTTTTGAAACTCAGTAAAAAAAAATTGAGAGAATTTGTCACACAAAAAAACTATCATATTTTTTTTTTGAATCCCACAATTTAAAAAAAATAAATAAATAAAAAATATATATATACATAATTTTTTTTTTTTTTTTTTTTGTGAGATTCACCCTCACATTGCTCACAGGTGGAGAAATGAAATAGTCTCTGACACATTTATTTTTAGCTTGTTTGGTTGTTAGTAATCCAGGATTGCTCTTAATCTGTGTCAGGTGACTGTGAGCGGAGAAATTCAGCCTGCTTTGAGGTTATATAACGATATTATTGCGTTTCATTCTGTGGTTATTCTCCACGTCACGTTTGGATGATAATCTGTCCTGCTGAATGGGTTTTGTGTGTGTAATGTGTGTTTCTCCTGATGTTCGGTGTACCGCTGTGCACTTTACACCGTCTCTCTCTTACTAAAGAGGAGGATCTCTGCTCTCTTTACATCTATTTACAGGGATTTGAAGCCAAGGGCATTATGCCATCAACTTTAGACACCGAGAACATAAAACCGGCCAAACGCAACCCAAATCCATGCAACTATTAAACAGGCTTTACCAGTTTCCAATCATGAAGGACATCTCGTATGTACATACTTTTCAATCTTTTGGGTTTTCATTTATTTTGGTTATTCGTTTACACTGGATTGCTATTTTTCTCCTTCCCTATTTTGCTGTACATAAGGAAGTCTTGTAAAGAAATGAATTCTTGGCATCCCTATAGCCGACACTATGCAGAATCGCATTTCCCTGGCATGCTTCGAAATGCAGAAAATAAAATAAAAATACTGTAGAGGACAACTAAACATGTTTGAGTTCTTTCTTTCTTTTTTAAATAAACATGTGAATATCTCTGTTAATAATGATGTAAGTATCATTTATTATATAATAGCCTATATATATATATAAAGGTAATAACAAAGACAGATTTAACTCATGCACATTTGATCTGCATGCTGCACGAATCTTCTGCAGCTCTGTCACAGAATGTGTGGACTGAAGCAAGAGCTGGACATGTGACACTGAACACTGCCAGGTCTGGAATCGTGTTGAAACGAGCTGACGAGATCAGACAGACTTCAGAAAGTCTTGATTGTGTGCTAGCATTATACACGGTTGACTTGACAAAGTTTAAAAATATTTATTTCAATAAACCTCTTTGAAAACAACTGAAATTATTCTCGTATGTACATACTTTTCAATCTTTTGGGTTTTCATTTATTTTGGTTATTCGTTTACACTGGATTGCTATTTTTCTCCTTCCCTATTTTGCTGTACATAAGGAAGTCTTGTAAAGAAATGAATTCTTGGCATCCCTATAGCCGACACTATGCAGAATCGCATTTCCCTGGCATGCTTCGAAATGCAGAAAATAAAATAAAAATACTGTAGAGGACAACTAAACATGTTTGAGTTCTTTCTTTCTTTTTTAAATAAACATGTGAATATCTCTGTTAATAATGATGTAAGTATCATTTATTATATAATAGCCTATATATATATATATATATAAAGGTAATAACAAAGACAGATTTAACTCATGCACATTTGATCTGCATGCTGCACGAATCTTCTGCAGCTCTGTCACAGAATGTGTGGACTGAAGCAAGAGCTGGACGTGACACTGAACACTGCCAGGTCTGGAATCGTGTTGAAACGAGCTGACGAGATCGGACAGGCTTCAGAAAGTCTTGATTGTGTGCTAGCATTATACACGGTTGACTTTACAAAGTTTAAAAATATTTATTTCAATAAACCTCTTTGAAAACAACTGAAATTACGGTGCTTTTCTCTTTTTATCGTTATAAAGCATATTATTATTATAGGGAACATTTCATGAAACTGTTAAAATATGCAATAAAGTGCACCATCCAAACTTAATTTGTTGTAATTTATGAACACTTTGGAATACAGACCTAAAGTGGTCTCGTTATTAAAGAAGAAAAAATTAAAGTATCAAAAAGTTATAGACTTTTAAATTTACTGTAAAGAAAATCTTTTACATAACAGGTTTTACTCTAAAATTGGTATACAATTAAAGCCTTGTGTCTAAATGAGTTATGTTCCAAATTTGAAGTTGATATGAAAAAAATGGAGGTTCCCGTGAGATTTTATTCAGGGTGTCATACCACAAACAGCCACC